GTGCGCGAACTACCTGACCGGAAGTTACTTGTGGTGGAGTGAGAAGTGATTGTGGGTGCTAGCAAATCTTCAATTATCTTTGAGGTAAATTAAATATTTTATTGGTTAATTAAAGTTTACTTGAATTACACAATTAAAGTGTTATATGAATGTGTCGAAAAATTACGAATTACACAATTTTTTAAGGATTTATAATATACAAATTAATAGTTTTCGAACTCTCAAATTATAAAACGAATTAGAAAATATTAAATATTAATTGTTTGTTTTAACTGATTTATAATCTAATATTTAGTGTTTGTAGCTATAAAAAAATTAGAAAATATTTAATATTTCAAAAAAAAAAAAATAATCTCAAAATATCAAAATATAGGGTTTCAATGGCGACTCCGGGTAGGAATACTGTCAAAGTTTTCGTGTATATAGGAGGCCATATTGTTCATGAGGGATTGTCAGTGAATTATGATCAACCTCATCATACAGTCGTACGAGTGAAACGCGATATATCTTTCTCTGACTTTTTGGCGAAAATATACTCACGTTGCCGAATAGATAGAAATGAATTTGTGTTATCGGTGTCGGGCAAAATATCACGATGGTATCAAAATCAGTGGAGCGAGATAGTTTCTGAGATAACAAGTGATGATGATTTAGAAATCTATTTGCACCCGGATGAAGGAAACGATTCCATAGATGTTTATGTTGAGTCTCAACCTTTATACAATCCTTTGATACCTTCACAATTCACTACATCAGAGCCTCTCTACTCCCCTTCGAGACCTTCACAATTCAGTACATCAGAACCTCTCTATTCCCCTTCGAGACCTTCACAATTCACTACATCAGAACCTCTCTACTCCCCTTCGAGACCTTCACAACATTTTGATTTGAATGATGCGTACAATTCATTTATGCAAACAAGTCCTGAGTTAGTTGCGGTTACACAAGGGTTTTCCAATATGGGCTTTGAAGCGGGGCCATCGAGGCATTCTTATCAAAATCTTGGGGTACATATTGGGGAATCAAGTGGCATGAGAAATGCTCATGAAAATTTTGATCTTCCGAATGAAACTCGTCATTGTGATAATAATGATGACGATGATCCTTTCGGAGATGCACATGGGCCAAATGTTCGAAGCGACTCTGAACCGTCCGACCATGGAGACGATGATGATAGTGGTGAAGAGAACAACGATGAGAATATCGAAGCCGTTGATGACGTTGTACAAACAATATCGCAGGCAGAAATTCCATCAACTTCTCATGTTCATGTCAGCAATCCATCATTTGCAGAACCTCCTACTCAGTTTTATGATCCACCTTCGTACTACTCTCTGTCATTTCCTGAAATCCCAGCCGATTCCATTGATGTTCCGTCGGGTATGTGGTCAAAATTTTATGATAGCAGCAAAGGTACTCTCGAAAAGGGGATGATTTTCGATAGTAAAGCAAGGGTCATTTCAGCCGTTAGAGACCACTCCATTCGATTTGCCAGAAGAGAGTTTAAAGTTATCGAAAGTACAAAAAGAACTTGGAAGGTTATCTGCAAACACGACACTGAAGCACGACCTTGCAGATGGAGGCTAAGAGCATCAAGAATTGGGGATAGAGGACAATTTAGGATTGGGATCTACGATGGCGATCATAGTTGCGGTATGCAAGGGATGACAAACAATCATGGCAACTTGAACATCAATTATTGCGCCGCAATTCTATTGAAAAGTGTTCGTGAAAATCCAGTTTGTGAAATTTCAAAGGCAAGAGAGATTGTGACCGCGCAAATAGGATATGAGATATCCTACATGAAGGCATGGTACACTTTGAAGCGATGCAGAGAAAATGTATATGGAACATGGGAGAGTTCGGTCCAGAAGTTGCCAAAATCTTGATGCTGTCAGTACATATAGTTGGGGTAGTTGTACTCTAGCAGTCCTCTACCACGAGTTGTGCAAAGCATCGAAGATATCTGCAAAAGAAATCAGTGGTCCTGTTCAATTATTACAGGTAACATAATGAATTAATTATATAATTTAGTACATTAATACATTTAATTTGCAGTTTATATTATAAAAAAATTATATTCTTGTATTATTTAACAGATATGGGCATGGATGCGGATTCCTCCATCAAGGCCCATACCTACTCTGGCGAAATGGGGCACAACACTTGAGTATGCAGGATATGAGTTTCCCGTACCACCTTACGGTGCACGGTAATGGTTTTGAGATTTATGTTAAATTATTTTTGCATTATTGTTACGGTGATTTGTGTATTAATTTTTTGTGTCTATAAATATAAGGGTTTGTTTGAGCCAACTTCCACTATATTTTTCTAACATTTTCAGTCAATTTTACTTGAATTTCTAAATAAAATTTCAGTCAATTTTAGATTTTTTTTTTAAATTTTCTAAATAAAACCTTTTATTTTTGTCATTTTGAATTTCTTTCGGCAGTTCAAATTCTCAACAACAATATGATTTTGAACCTTATCTTTATTATTATCTGAAGTTTAATATATAATAATATATCGCAGGTGGACCAACCATGTCAGCTTCATTGAGACTGGTGCACATGTTCTTCGTATATTTAGGATGATGTTGGATCAGATGCTCCCAGATCAGTTTATATGGACGCCATATGATCTGGATGATCCGGAGTATCAGTCTGTAGGTGGTGATTCAACGATCACATGTAATGGTATATGGGTATCGAGAGTCCCCCTGATATGCTACGCAATTGTGGAGATGCATCGACCAGACAGAGTAGTACGTCAGTTCGGGATGGTACAACCCATACCTGAACCTCCTGAAAATACTGAGACGGATTTCCGGATGCACGTCAATGCTAACCGTACAGGTGCTACCAACCGAGACTGGAGGCTTACACATGTTTCGCATGTTACCGCTTGGGATAATAGACTCGATTATATTGTTGATTATCCATATGCCAGTGACAGTCAGACTACAGAAGATGGTTATTTTGAGTGGTATGAACTGCACACACGTCGTTTCATATCACCGATTACCCCATCTGATCGTACAGGATTTCAGGTTGGAGGTCAGATTTCAATGGATACAGTGGTACGTATTCAAATTTATTTATTATAAAATTTTGTGTATTATATAATTTTTATTAATGTATGTCTTCTAAAAATAAAATATTTCTTATTACTTATTTCAGATTCAGCATCTTCGATCGTTGATTGTTTCTGTTGATGGCGGAGACATGCCCCGGGATGGCTATCGTTCGTATTTACCGACTCTCAGAACATGTCTTAATGTCTTAGAGTCTCGACACGGACCTTCAGATAGGCCTCAATCTGAGATGCCTTATACTCAGACTCACTCTCAGACTCAGACTCAGATACCACTGTCTCAAATGCCTCAGTCACAGACTCAGATGTACGCTGGCGAGGCAGGAACTTCTTCTCGTGCATATTATCCGGCATTCGATAATTATACAGATCCTAGAGCACACGGGCATCCATCTGGTATGTTTAGTACCTTTGATTTTATTTTTAATACTATCTACAACTGTGAGTTTAATTATAATCTCGTTGATGCAGATCCGTACACCCATACCCCTACTTTAATCCGAATATGAATTC